AATCGAATGAAAAATCGAAAAAATTCTTATGAGATTTTTTCCGGCAAAAAATTATTTTGTATTAAAATTCTGAAAAAATATAATAATTCATTTTTTTTTCTTAATGTTTATTGTTAATATCTGCGATATTTTAGTATTATTTAATATTTTTTGTCTTTAAGTGACAAAACGGAAACATATTTGCATTGTTGCGATGCCTAATGAATTGATAATACCTTTCGAAAGGTATAATCAATTCAATATAAATAATACTGTATGAAGTATATTTATGGCCGCCGCCACTTATTGTTAGTCATTGTACTACATTTAATGGCAGCTATTACAACTTTACACAGAAATTTTTTTGATGAATGCAAAAACTTAATTCTAATGGTATTAAATATTAAAAAAAGTGCATATTGGAATAAAAAAAACTTTCAGAGCCAAAATAAAAATCTGATTTTTACGAGGTTTTTTACTCAATATTTTTTCTAGTTTTTTTCTGATAATTATTTGCTCTAACTGAGACTCGATATTTAGGTGGAAATGCTATTGCGCGAGAACTGTGATGCAAAGTGTTTAATCGCCTAATAAATGAACGGAAGGATACGTGGCCGAAAGATACGCGGTCAGATTGACATGTCGACCATAACGAGTGAGCCATTATGGATTATTGGAGTCACGCGCGTTTGATGCTATCCTCGATTACGGTTGTATATGATTGGCAATAAACTGTCAGTCGCTCTCGGTACAGTCGAGTCTCATCGCTGATCGATCGACTTCGTTCGGACACTTTCGGAAGCCATTTCGCCTCCTCTCTTTTATTCACAGGAGACGCGAGAGAGCGTGAGAAAACGCGAGAAATTGCGGGAGAGCTCGTAAAGTCGCGATTATCCATCCTCATGATTATCTATCAAGGATTGACTTTGCATTCCAGGCATCTTCATGCATTGAATTTCATACATTATTTTATTTTAACGCAATGCCGGAAGAGACATCACGAATCTATCTCTGACGTTTCACGTAGGTAATATTAGTTATCCATTTGTAAACGCAATCTGGAGTTAATTTATAAATAATAATTTCAAGAGTTCACTGCCAGAAAAAATTCCATGGCACACAAAAAAAACATAAAGCAAGACATAAGTAATAAGAGAATCAACCTATCACAATACGTAGTGAATATAAGACAATAACATAAACCCAAAATATTAATTTGCATATCTCTTACCGCTTTAGTTTTTTGTATAGCACAGCCTCCTTAAATCTTTAAAGGTATAGCATTAAGTTCCCTTCAGTTTCCTTTCCATAAGTATTATGTGCTGCCATCTAAGAACAACTTCCGGTACCAAAGAGCATCACCAAGCAATTGAACATTTTTTAAAATTTATTTATTTATACTTTTATACTTTATAAAAGTTTATTTATTTATTAAATCTCGATATATGTAAAAATTAATAAATATTCATATTATACTTGCGTCTAATTAAAAATTATGCTAAACGACAATTTAAGATTCTATTTTAAATCAATATAATTTAATGCATCGACGTATCCACCGGTTTCTACCTTTTATTAATTGGTACCATATCCTCGTGACTATCACACTCCGTTTGAGTGGCATAAATCTCTTTGTCTCTACAAATTGAAATGACCAAACGCTCCGACGAAATAACTCATCCAGGAGAATTCCGGAGTCGATGACCAATTTTCCCAAACCCGTCGTTCGGTCCAGGGGCCCTTCTTATTCACCGTGTGTGCATACCGGTGAGCACCCGGATTATTTATATCGCAGCATGCGCTTTTCTACTACGGATCAACATCTTTCGTCGTTCGTTTCTTGTACGGGGCGAGACGAGACGAAGACAGGTACAAATCTACAGAAGGACGTTTCCCGAGCGTGCTTATCCCTCTGACCCCGCGGCATTAATAACATTTCACGAGATCTCCACGAATTCCTCCTGCTCCTTCCTCTCCCTTACCCGCCCCCCCCCCTCATGGCCGCGAGGACCCCCCGTCGAACAGATCGCGTCACTGACGTGTACCCTTCGCGCGGCGATCCTGATGGATACGCGGGATTCGATGGGAACAAAAGGATGTTGGTTTAACGTGGAAGGCGTGTTTGTTGTTTTGATGAGGTATAATGGGATGGATCCCGGGTGTTGATGCATAGCGCGTAGCGGGGTGCCGCGGGCCCCGACCGGGCCCCCGTTCATCGAGACCCCCGTAGACAGCGGCCATAACACGTCCATCACGTGTCACGGTTATGTATTTAGACATATCTCACTATCATCTTGAGTATCTCTCTTCTCTTTCTCTTTCTCCCTCGGTCACTCTGCGCATCCTGCATCCTTGAACCCACTCCCACGATTCCTTTTACCCTGCCTGACGCTTCGTCGTACAGCCGTTCTGTCGCATGTTAATCAGGATTTTGTCCTACGTAGGAGAGAATTCATCGACCCTCAACGAATTGGTCTTGTCAGAAAGCCAGGGTTTCGAGCAAAGATAACCTTCGTGAAGAATATGTGTTGTAATTCAAAAGTCAGCTTTAATACAGAATTTTAACCCTTTGGTTTGATCCATTTCTATGTTTATATTAAATATACATCTTTACGTCAATTTGTGTACGACAATTTTAATATGTGCATTAGTGCGCACTTCATTCTTACGTCCAACGCAATTTGCTATCGAATTCGCTATCAGTATTCAAAATGCTACATATGTTTCGTCTTCATTGAAGTATAACTATATCTGTACACTTTCTAAAATCTTTAGAGAATTTAACTCTAAAGAGTAAAATCTTAGTCTTAAAACTTGATGCCATTCTTTTTCAATTCAATTATCATTATTTGTTACTCTTTAGAATTAGGTTCCATTCTAGACATTTTAGAGAGATCTCGAATTTACTTCGAATTTATTCTAAATTTAATTTTAAATTGAATGTTGCAAATATGCAACACTCGGCCGTGCAAGAGCGAATTGAAAAGTTAACAATTTTACAATATGCATGTGGAAGACCGTACTTTGATGCAGATTTTTAATCTAGTAACGGCCTAATCACCTAAAGATGATTCAGGGAAGATAAATAAAGCTTTATTCGCGATCAATTGTGAGGTATCAAAACTTAGCACACGCGTTCGCATTTGCTTTCCAATCACTCGTCCAACCTGCTTCCTTTCATCACTCATCCCTTCAACTCTCTGTCCAATTTGCTGCGCCGGTATTCTCATCCCCTTACTATTTCACCCGACGATTCATTAATCGAATCCCGTAACAATCTCGTCTCCCTCCCGCCCTTGGCCATTGTACAATCCTCTTCTTCGCCACTGCGCGCTTCCTCGTTGGTCCCCATTGGTCCCGCCTGGGCGCCGCATATCGTTCATCCAGGCCCATATTTCAACATTAATTTCCCAGATGGTGATACATCGTTCGCATCAACCTGGCCTCGTATCAGCCCGGAGCTCATCATCATCCGCATCCCCTTTTTGCTCCCTCCCGCTGTCGCGCGCGCGCAAGGTTCTCCTCCTCTTTTATCTTCTTCTGCAGGGGCGAATAGCGACTTCTTTCTTATATCTGAGAAACTATTTTAGAAATAATTCGAATAGAAAAGAATTAAATGGACTAACTGCTTTATTACTCTATAAAATATAGAAAATATCTTCCTATCACGTTTTGATATATAATATCTATTCGGGGCACAAAAAAATGATACAAAGAAAAATATTTTAGATTTGTGAACATTGTATGATCAGATTTATTTCTATCTCATTTTTTCTCTTTCTGCACTTTTGAAACTTTTAAAAAATTTCAATCCCGAAGTAAACTGAGCTGCGCTTAAGCAGAATTATTTAGATCGACGAAGGTCTAAAGTTAAATTCCATTAAATTTTACATATCCGTCCCTGCCATTATTCTTCATCTTCTTTTCTGAATAATCACGCACTCGCCACAACGACCCTCTCGATTGCTGGTCGTTAATATCGGCCGCCAGGTAGTCTCTGTCGATTGAATTTTTTACTGGTGCTCACCGCGGAAGCCGCGGCTCAGACCGATATCCCATTCGTGCAGTTGCTTCTTAAGAGTAACAGACATTCGCTTTAAACGTCCGCTATTCGTCATCGGGCCTGCGATGCCAATACGATCCGACAGGAAATAGGACAGTATGGCCGTGGCGGGATCCCTCTCTTCTGAGATCGCGCGAAATGCGCGGCATTGATGATATTCCCCGTCGTTATTTCAATGACATCCTCGTCCGTTAAACGGTTCGCAATTTACAGAGATAAATGTGCTCTCAAACGATCTCTGACACCGAAGGTAGACCGAACGTCAACTGTCCCAAAAGCATGGATGATTATCATCAAAGTTGATCGAGAAATAAGAAGGTCAGGTTGCAATCGAGACAGAAATAAATGTGAACGCAACCAAATGAGTCACAGATTATTTTCTTTACAAAATATAACGTACACATAAATGTTGCGATTTTATATTCTATGAACACGAAGACAACATATGGTAGGTAATAATGATGACCATTATAAAAGATAAATAAAATAATGCATTAGGAATAATTTTGATTGTGTCTCAGCATAGCTAATTCAATATGTTGGAAAACATACACACACACACACACACACACACACACATGCACGCACACACATACATCTGTATACATACTTCGTGCAAGCTATTATATTTAGTTTTAATTTTTGGCAATTACATAATTAGTGAATTAGAATTTTACAAGAATTATGCTATTCCTTTCGCATCGAAAAATTATTATTATATTTACTCTTTTCTGGCTATCCAATCATAAGGTACTAATCTTTTATCATGACTTTATGACGATTGCCAAAGATAGATTAATCTCTGGACAGCGATAGTAGTAAATAAATTTTAGTTATTATAACACTATTAATAAAAATAAATACAAATATATAAAGGTATATGTCGTTAAGACTTTATGATTCTTTTCTTTCATGGAAATATTAACATCGTCAAAATGAACTATAGACAACTCGTGGCAATAAAAATAATAAGCGAATTGAGTGGCGATTTCAATCCTCTTTGAACGAAAGTTTAAAATCTCACATGGAAGATCACGAGTTGTCGATAGACTTAATGACTTTCAGAATAAACCTTCTTCAGTTATTTAATTTTATTTGAATAAATTAATTTAATTTATTAAATCTCGTCATTCCCTCTTTTCCGAACGATCATACGAGGCTCAATTCCAGATCATAGGGATTAATTTCCGCGACCCAAATAAGGATCGACAAATACACTGTTTTAAATGGTGTTATTGCGTCCGTCCGCGATATAGGCAAGTGTTCTGAAATCAAATCAAAATAAATTCAAATCATGGTATGCACGATAGAGCACTGGCATGATTTCTGAAACGTCCATTTATGCCTCCTTTTGAATCCTTTTAATTTCTGTAAAATAAAGAATTTCTAAGGCTTGAACGTAACAATATGAACCGACTATAAAAATATAAAAAACATGACATTATTTGCTAAAATATCAGAATAATTAGAAAATATTGCGATCACTCAGAATTATTGATTATCTTCGCCGATTTGACTATAAAATTGTTTGAATGTCCATCGACGTCCTCTAATTCCCTTGAATAAAACTTCGCCGCTATCCTGGCTTGTCCTTCTAACTTCGGCATCATGGAGAAACTACATTCCGCGTCTGCATCCACCTCGACAGGTTCCAATAGCTTCAGCTTCAGTTGTTCGTCCAGACCAGGCCCCTCGATAAGGAACCTACCCTTCCTCAAAGGAATTGGCAATGGATTGCGGAACTTGGCCGAAGCGTGGAGAGTCTGACCGACAACCGCTTCGTTATACAGCTAAATGAGAAAATTTAATTTTTAATGTAAAATATCTATTTATCATATCTACTTACTCTCTATTTTTCTCTTTTACTTTTATTGCTTACATGTTGGTTACGCATATCTCAATAATTACCGTGATTTTAATGTCGGGTTTTCTAACACGGAAGTCGTCCTGCGCGAAGTACTCAAAGTTCGTATCCTTCACGGTGGCTAAGCAGGAAATGTTGAAAGCGCATTGATCTAATAATCTCGGGCTATATTCCTCCCAGGAAACGTCCATGCGAATTTCCTCGAGCACCCCTGGTCGAACCAGTCTATCGATGTGCAATCTTTTCACCGGATCGCCTACTCGGCCGGTGTACAAAACAGTTTCCACTCTCAGAATTACGGTCACACGGTATTCCAGTGTTGAATGCCGATTTTTTATCAGTAATACGACGCTATCAGAAAGTAAGGAAGACTTTTAATGAGTATCGCAGTAGAATAAAATTTGATAAAAGCATTAATAAGCAAATAAAGAAGTTTATATTAATAAAAATTAAAGGTTAAATTCAAGAAATGAATCTGAAGAATTCTATGTAATTTTTATATATTTTATTAATAATACTATTATATATATTATCTTCGAGTACAATTATTACAATTAAATTAAACAATCATTATTTAAAGAATACTTGCAACAATGGTAATTCAGTCAAAGTAAATACCTGAATGGCTGGCCAATTATGATATCATCGCGCAGTTCGAAAGTGAACATGACGTCGTTGAACTCCTCATTGAGATAATAACGACTAAATAAAGACTCACTCTGGCGCAGCGCCTTCAGCATGGCAGCACGTTCTTCATCAGATTCTATATTGAAATTAAAAATGATTATTATTACTCTTATAATTAACTTTATATTGAAGCTAATATATATTTAGTATTATATTTAGTATTATATTGAATATAATACTAAATAAATTAGTTATCATATTAAATAAATATTTCAGAATTAGATGAATTGATCGTAATTTATGAGAATTCAAATAAAATATTGATCGATAGAATAACATCATCTTTCATTTCATTATGAATATAGGCTGACACAAATATCAAAAATTTTATTTTAACAATCTGTAAGCGACAATCTGCTCAATATTTTTTGTTAAATCCCACTTACTTTCTGGATACTTGTACGTGTGCGTAATGTCTTCTCTTGTCCATCTGCCAATCGCTTTTGTACTGATCAACTGACCGATGCTGCGAAATCGTTCTCGTTTAATTATTTAATGCAATCAGTTATCCTAATAATCGCGATGACAGTTAACAGTACAGATAATTCGTCATACGTACCCGTACATATCCTTGCGAACTAATTTCAATGGCTGTGTAGGCCCGTTGTAACGCCAGTAGACTTTATCGGCGTTCACTTCAGCGAACAGGAACGCGTTATCGTAGGGACGTAAGACTTCCCCTTTCTTCACGGCGGCCACCGATGCCGGTCCGCAACGATACGCTCCCTCGCTCAGTTCTTGAGGAGTAGCATCGATCATCTGCCATCCTGAACAATCCGGCGACAAATCCAGTCGCTTCATCCATACTTCGTTCCAGACGTGAAAATTCCTACCATGACGAAATTCGATTATTCTATTATCTACTGCCATCAATGTTTTCTAATTTTTATTAATAATAAATTTACAGTATTTTAAAGATAGCATAAAGGTACTAGTAAATTGCTTGTCAATTTAATTGTAATATTACGTATTCTAGCTTCAGTTTATAAGACTGTATTTCAAGACCAATAAATAATCGATATCCAATTTGCTTAACTAGAAATTGTAAAAATTTAT